GTTTTTCTATTTTTGGAGAATGTTGGAAATGTGAACTATTATTATTTAATTCTTGTCATTTACAAACTATTGATAATGAAATCTTAAGCAATATCTTCCAGTTTTGTATTGCTCACTTTGCATCAGTTCAAGTAAAAGTCATTTACTTTGAATATATTACAGTTGTGGCATAGATAAAATCTTATTTTATTCTGCTACAAGCATTACTACTTTTACGATAAAATTACTGAATTTTATATTTCCTAAGCTTTTTTATATACCCAGTACAAGGTATAATTTTCATAATCATTAACTGGCATTTTTAAATGGACAACAGCTGTGGATTAGGATTACAAAGATAGTAGTCTCTTTACTTTTTTTTTTTGTTTGTTTTTTGTAGAATGACAAAAGGTCTAATGTATCCCTTAAAGGGTTTGGAATTCTGTACAGTATGTAAAATTTAAAGTAGGTTATATTTGCCATGTGACTAAAGTAGGATTTTATAGAGAAAATAGTTATGAGAGGAGTTTAATCTGATAGGAACAGATTAACTTATGGTTTAGATTATCTGAAAAACTGAAATAAAAATAATGCTTTCCAATCGTGCCAAAACTTTCAGATTGCTAGAGGAAGCTTCTTACCTATAAAAACTGCATGCTTTCAATTATTAGGTCAAGTGTTTTTCATAAAAATAACATTCTGTACCACAGTTGCTCAATTGGGTTTCATATTATGGCAATTATATTCCAAATAATGCTTGATGATACTTAAAATTGCCATTCATAAGAAACTCATCTTGAAATTTGGGCTGTTTTGTAGGAACTATAACTAACAAAGTTAACCCTTCTATAACTAAGCAACTTCTTACAATCCAAAAATGTGTTTCAGCTTTAAAATAACCCACAAAGGGTTGGTAAGCTGCACAAAAAATACCCTTCTATATGATAAAGGAAATTTCTTTGAAAAATATTAGCCAAATTTTTCAAACATTCCAGTGAAATTAATTTTTAAAACTATGTACGAAAACAATATTTTAAAATACATTAAAGCTTTCATTTAAAAAAAAATATATAAAACTCTTTTACAACAAACATTTCTAAAAATTGAATATTTTAAAGATAAAGAAAATAAATATTTTAAATAGAATCAAATGAATTTGATGTTTTTATGATTTTTTTTCTTATTCCTAATCTTTATTATTGCAGGAGGAAGCTTAAGAAAAAAACGTTTCCTATAAACAATCTAAATTTATTTTGAATTTAGTCTATGAATTCCAATGAAGATTAAAGTTCTCAGAATGATCAGAAATATTAAATAGAATTTGTTAACTAAATCTTTGAGAGGTGAAAAAGTAGCCTTTAACCTCCTGTTTTTTTTTGTTTTTGTTTTTTTCAGTTTTGGGTAATTACTAATTAAAAAAAATTAACTGTCATAAAATGTTTTATTAAAATTTTCTATTTACATATTTTTAAAAACAGAATGTAAATGAAAATGTTTTATCTCAGTCTTAATCTTTCATTTTATTTCTAACCAAAATTTCTCATTTCTGATTCTACTGGTTTCTTTTACTGAGCTCTCTTGAAATTGCAATTGCTTTCTCCAAAGACTGTTTGCTTCCTGTTACTTCTGACACACACACACACACACACACACACACACACACACTCAAAGCTAATCCTTAAAATTTTCAAATGTTGATAATTCTACTTGATACTTTTAATTCTATATCAGAACCATTGTGATTGTAACATCAAAAACAGGTTAAAAATCAATTGATAAAATTGTTGCAAGCACTTGAACATTATTATTATTATTATTTTATTTTTTTTTTTTTTTTTAGGTTCCACAATGTAGATTTGAAATATTTCAATCAACAAATTTACAGCCTTCATTTAAGGGGAGCTTTAAGATTAGTCATTAAAGGAATAAATTGGTTGCCAGATGAAGATCAGATTTGTTGATGGAAATCCCATCCCCCGACTCTTGATACAAAAAAAATTACAGTAAGGCTTACACTGCCTCACAAAGATTATAGTAAAATATATCCTTGATCTCAAAATGATAAAGGTTAGAGCATGTGCTCACTCATAAGACAATAGTTTTTTAATGGTCACAGTCTTAGAAAACTTTAACAAAATATATTGTAATTTTTTATTTTTTTTTTTTATAATTATCCCCCACATTTTTTTTTTATTTCACCTGAAATTTATGCTATTCTTTATCTTCAGGTGAATGTTGCATCCACTAAGTAGTTATCTTGTTGATAACATCATTGATACCCTTTTGCAGTCTTAAGTTGTTACATAAATTTATTTTAATGCTCATTATTTATTAATAGTCCTGATGAATCATTCAACAATGTATTCCTCTTCATTATTTTTGTGCGACCTCCGACCAATGATCCACTAACTGTTCAATGCTTTGATGATAGAAATCACTAGGTTTTGACTTGAAAAATTAATCAAGCCACATTTTAAATGCCACATCATTGTTGAACAAAATACTCCTCAAATTGTTAGAAAGCAACTAAAAAAGGTGGTAGTCTGAAGGGCTAAATCAGGTGAATATGGTGGGTGTGGCAGAACTTCCCAACCAAGCTATTTGTCATGTTGAATAACCACATTGTATCACTAGTCAGGTCTTTTCAGATGAATTGCTTCTTTGAGCCAGTTCATTTGTTCAAAATACAGTTTAGTAGTGATAATTTGGTTGTTTTGTAGCATTTCATAGTAAATTAGTCTTTGCCGATCCCACCAAATGCAGATCATTCATTTATGTAGATGCAGCTCTGGCTTGTTTCAGGTTGTTGCCTGCTTGTTTAGACTCACCCATTCTTTTCTCTGCTTCATATTCATGTAAAGATAATATTTTTAGTTCCCCGGTGATAATACTCTAAAGGAATCTTTCTTTGCATACACAATTATCCTGGTGTCATGATTAAACTGGTGGCAATGGAAGAGTGCTGGAGTTTGTTTCTCTCTGTCAGTGGCACTCATGCACCATGCTTCTGGATCTTACCCATTGAATGAAGATGACTAGTGACTTACCCGAGAGCTTGCCATCTTTTGAGCCAATTCTCCAGTGGTCTAGCATGGTTCTTCTTTAATCAGCATGTACAATTGGTTCTCATAAAACTGAACAGGTCAGTCAGAATGCGAAGAGTCTATGAGTTCAAATTTCCCCTTCATGAAACAGGAAAACCATTTCAGTGCCATTCTGTCAGTAATGAAGTCATCTCCATACACAGCACACATGTCTCAAGCAACTTTGAGACCTTGATTAAAAGCAAAGAGAAGATGTCAAACATGCTCATTCTTGTCTACTTGGCATTCCATCTGAAAGTGTCTAATTGTTATACCTGAACGTACCTATTCTCTTATTAATAGACTCTCCCACACATAATAAGTAGTAGTAGTAGTAGTCGCCAGTTGGGCTCAGTGGAGTTGAGTGAGTCAGTCGATGTCGGACATTGAACCATCACAACTAGATTGCTGCGTCATTAACTCTTATTTCAAGTTTCTAACGTTTTGTACATCGGACCCTTTTAGGACCGACTTAGCGAAATACAAGCCTCCACTGTGAAAACTACAACACTAATCCAAAATAAAATTTCAATAACATTAAACAACAGTTTCACAGAATGACCAGAGTTAGTAAAAAGCAAAATATGCTATGATAGATTATTCAAGATCATTCACAGAACAGGAAAAAAAAACAAATGAATATATATATAACAACTTAATAAATATATATTCATTTGAGGAAGATTTGAAAATGGTCTGGTCCAAATGAGAGAAGTAGAACTTTTTTTATTATAATTTGTAATTCATTTGAAATATTAAAATGTTATGTCAAATCTCAACTTGATTAGGATATATAACTTTTCATTTAGTTAAGCTGTAATTTATTACCTTTTTTTTTTTTTTTAAATGGTTACAATGAGAGTTTGCTGAAAAGTCTTTGGCTTGACCCACTTCCCCAAAATCAATATTCCATTTTGTCATTAAAATACAGACTTTTGGGAAGTGGACCAGGCTGATAACTTTTCAACAGTTCCTTGCTAATCTTTGTTAATCTGTTTGCAAAAAAAGTAGAAAGAATGTTCTAGTACTTTAAATCTGAGTGTAAATAGCAAACTAGCTTTTGGCTACAGTGTCATCACTTACTACAATTGCTTTTCTTTCTTCATTCACTTTTTTCATAATGGCTCTTTTGATGCACTGCTCTCAGCTTTTTTTCTTTTATTCATCATAAACTTTTAAAATGTACTTAAAAATTTCAACATGTTTTTATTTTATTACTGCAGAATGGACCTGTTCTATAATAAAATTAATTCATTTTCTATAATTTCAAATCCTCTTTCAAAATATTACTAGGTGAATATTTTTTAAAATGAATTTCAAAAATTTTTTTTTTTAAAATCTGTAAATGAGTATTAACCTCTTTCCAAGATTTCTTGTCTTTGAATCTCTAAATGCATGTCTTCTTAAATTTTAAAAAATATTCTGCTAACATTTCTTTTCTCCATCTTTATATCATCTTGGTTATCTTCTCAAAAACTGTTTGTGTTCTTCAGTACAGATTATGATCAACTATTTAATAATAATCACAAAATTGAAAGTACAAAATACTTAAAGTATTACATAGTTTTTTTTTTTTCCTTTAAATATCAAAGCAATAAAATTGTTTAAAAGCTTACTAATAAATATTCTACTTGGAAAATAAATTTGAAATGCTGCATCTTCTAATCCTAGCTCCACCCTAGATGCATTTTCTGTTTCATGATCTGTTGCCACTGAAGAATCTAAACAATACCTTGTCAGCAATATTACCATATCTACCACTTTTCTCTTCCTACTATTTTTTAACTACTTCTACTATTCTAATCTGAATCTTGTAAAATCTGGTAAATCTTCATGAGGAGGAAAAAATGGGAAGTATCCACTTCCTTGTTGTCCCTTCTGCAGCTTGAGGTTGGCTTGGCTTGGTTTTTTTGCTTGATTACTGCATTTCTCTTCCAGTTGAGAATGGCTCTTCTCGTCGCATCGGATCAATTGCTGATTATGACCCTCTGAATAACCAGTATGGCTCCATTGTGACCGAACCGGAGCAGCAAGGTAGGCTGGTAGGCTGGTACACACAGTGTTGCTGGTTCTACCACCAATGGTCTCATTATAAATTCTCAACTCAAAGACTGTTACTTGAGTTCTATCATTCTTTGAGATTCCATCTTCAATCTCCTATTTTGGACCCCCCCTCCTAAAAAATAAAAATAAATTCCAACTCTCTATTCCATTTTCTATCACTTTACACAAATTGAAATTTCTGTTTTCCATTTCTTTTTTTGTAAAGAGTTAAAACTTCCCCTCTTTAAAAGCCTTCTTTCCAAATAGAAGACCAATTATGGCTTTTCCTTCTACAGTAGATGATTTTTTTTAATTTTATTTTTCATTAAAAAATATATAGCTTTCTATATACATTACTTTTCACATGTATAAAATTTATTCAAGAAAATCTTTCAGAAGAATCGACCCTTTTCTGATTTCTTTGATAAATCTTCAGGGGGCCATAATTTCTGATGCCTACCATGTCACCCTGTCCCAGATTGAGCTGAACAATCTCTCTGTATCCAATCTTGCAGATATTTTACTAATTATGATTATTTTCAGGCCAATGGCCTAAAAGCGTTATCTTTTTTGCAAACTTTTACTAACATTGTTCAGCATTTATTCAATCCATACCTTTATTTCCATGTTTTCACTAATCAGTAATGAAAACCTTTTATTTATTTGATCCTGATGCCCACACAAAGCCTCATTGTGTGATACTAATATCTGTAGAGCCACAGAATACATATATAATGGTATTAAGTACTAATCAAAGGGAAAGAAACTCTGGATATTACAAATGCTGAAGTACTTAAAATCAATATTTATTAATGTGGTGTCATTAAATTGCTTAAAATCATAGCATCAGTTTTAATGTATGGCACAAATAATAAAGTTTACACAATTTATCTTTTTTTTTCTTGTTTGCCTGCAGTTAAATTTTATAAAATCATACATAAACCCCTTAATGAAAATTTAAAACAAGTTTTTCTTAGTTATTTAAATTTTTATTTGGTTACATTTTCATTTTTCATATAAAAACCCACTAACATTATTCTGTACCTGATGTAAAATACTTTAAAAATGAATGTCATAATTAGCTTAGCCACATCAAATTGCATAATCAACATTTGCAAGAAATGACTTTCTATTTACAATACCTTAATATTTTCTCTTGATGGTTTCCTTTGGGGAGGGGAATACAAAAATCAGTTGTCTCCCTTGATTGTTCTCTACCCCCCCCCCCACACACACTCCCCAGACCAAAAAATTTTAATGTCACTGCAGTTTAAAATTGCTAAAAGCCTTTCAGTGACAAATCTAAATCTATTTTATACAGTTTCAGCTCAAAGAAACAAAATCTGATTTGTTTGCAATAAATTCAATAAGTTTTTCATAACCAAAAAAAAAACTTTCAAGAAGGATATTATTAAAACAAAAAAAAATGTATAAAGATTATATTTGCATAAAAATTATTATTTTTAGTTATATATTATCTTTTGACCTGTAAGCTTGATAATCTATCACCTTCAATGTCCCATTATTGAATGCAGAATTTGTCATAGAATTTTTCCAAATCTTAAATCTTGCAGTTGTTTAATCATAATTATAAAAGGAAACTTTTAAAGAATTTTGAAATTTGTTAGCTATTTGAGGAGGATAATGCATGATTTTAAATAATATTAAAGATTAGTAAAGAATTGTTTAACTTTATCTAATAAATTTGCATCCTTATTCATTTTAAAATGTTATTTAATTTTCATTTATTGCAATTATAAATTGATCTCCACATTTGCTCTAAAAGATTTTTCTTCATAAAATTTAATTCTCTTGGGCGGGGAGCAAAACTTCTAAACTTACATTCTAACTAAACTCAATTTTAGGAAATCTCACTAAGAAAATTGTGTAGTTAGTTATTTTTCTTTCTCCTCCAATGGATACTAGAATCACCTATGTTTTCAGTAAAGACTGAAATTTTATTTTTCTTAAAGCAAAACAGATTAGTCTTGAAAATTTATTTTTAATTGAAGACAAAGAATATTTCAAAGGGTTGATAAACAAATCAATCCATCAGAATATTACACAATATTTCTGTAGAAACAACAAAAGAACATTTTCTTTGTCAGTATTGATAAATATCAAACCTTGCACTACATAATTCTAATAGGCATTATTCTGCTTGATATTAATTTTCATCAAAATGAATTATCTAATCCTATAAACATCTCTGGCCAGTATTGATGCAACATTGATTTCTTTTTAGACATAACAATTAAAATACTTAATCAAAAGTATTTAAAAAGTTTTATTTTATGACAATATAAAAAAATGCCAACTAAAATGAAAATAAACCAATCATCTATTCTATAATTTTGGTTGTTAATTGAGTTTTAATATCACTAGTGTTTGGATTTTTATCTTGTACATATTTTAATTTTGTTGGGCGGAGGGGTTAAGATAGTTTAATTGGTTTTTTTTAATCACAATACTTGTCTTGGAGGTGAAATAAGTATATTTTCTCACTAACAACAGATTGAAGAGCTTTTTCTTTTATCTTCTTGGCTTTGTCTATGGTACTCTATAATGGGCCCTAAAGAATACTGGGTGAGAGCAACTTGAATCTTATTACTTACTCAGGTAAAACCAAAAATAATTGTTATACTCATTCTTTATATTGACAGACCAGGTTTTTTTCAGCATTGGCCTTTTTGTGTAATTTCATTAAAATGCTCAATCTTCCTACCCTCTATATAAATAGCAAAACATAGGTGAAGAGCAAAAAATGAACAGATTACTATCCTTACAAGGAATAACCTTTCTCAGACCAATGCTGATTTTTTTTTTTTTTCTTTCTTACACAAATTGTAGGAAATTTCTTATTTCTAATACTGAATCTTTTTTATGGAGAATGTTTACTGGCCTTCTATTATGAATCTGATGATCCCTTAAAGCTTACAATTAGTTCATTACCTTTTTTCCAAATATTCTAAGCCATCACAAAAAGCAGTCGTTTACCTAATGTCGTATGTAATGTTGTCGCGAGGTTATCTCCCTTACATCCTTGTCCACTTAATCGGCCTTAACTAAATTAAATTTAATATAGTTTCTTAACGTTCAACAAATTGCTTTATTAATTTTTTGGTTCTTTTATACAATCTCCCTGCCTTTAACCTGTTGACTTTTTTTGTCAACGTTTTTCTTTCTCTTTACCTTTCCATCTATTTTGTTTTCCCTATTTTCTGATTCCTTTGAGCAATGTGGAGATTTGTTGTGCATGAAGTCAGTTGTTGCTTGTTCTTTGCATGATACCCAGTCAGTTGATCGTTGCTTCAGTGGACTGTGTTCATTTTAGTTTCATTTTAAAACAATTCTGGCTAACATGAACAAAATTTATTATTTAAAAAATAAATACATATTATAAATTAAATGTTTTTTTTTTTTTTTTTTTTTTTTTTTCAATTCTTGAAGAATGTCACAGTCAAATTTGTTTAACTTGATGACTTCTCCTGATTAAAATCCAAGGCTTTTTGGTATGTATGTCATTTGGTAAGAGTGCAACAAAAAAAGTATAGTTTTGATTTTAATTTTTTTTTTTTTAAATAAAATGGAATTTACCCTGTACCCTCCCTCTTCTTTTTGCTCCCAGGCTCTATTTTTTTTTTTCTTGTGATTGGTCAAGGATGGTAAATTCACAAATAAATCTTCAAATGGAAAAGAAAAATTTCAATGGAATTTTGAAAGTCTTCAAATGAAAATTAACACTTTTTTCTTTACTTTTCCTGTTTTCAGCTCCTGCAGGTGGCCACAATCCATATGCTGGAAAAGGGGTAAGTTATTGCCTCTTTGTTTTGAATCACATTGAGGTGTGGGGGGGGGGAACAATTTTATACATTATCATTTTCATCTTCAGAGAATAATAATATAGCAAATTTCTTAAATATTTCAGGGGAATCTCTATACTATAATTAAAAGATCACTTGTTAAAACCATTCACTGATACCTCTCCCTCTCTTGGATTGTTTTCCAAGTATGGTATTATTGACATAAATCATTTTGCCAGAAGCAAGTCTTCAAATTGATAATTCAAAAGAACTGTAAAATTTTCACATGGGGCACCATAGATTTTGAATAATTTGATTTTGTTTCCAGTCTTTACAAAATCAACAAATACTTGGTTTGTCATAAAAAACTGAAAATGGCATCACTTTTTTGGAAACCTAGAAAACTGAAGGTAGAAATTACTAAATATTTGTCATTTTAGTATTATGGTAAATACTAATAGCATAATTTTGGAAAGCATGCAAGTTTTGACATTGCTTTATAATTGTATTGAAGAAGAGCAAGGTCAAAAACTTTATTTTTAAAAATATTTTCATATGCATTCAACATTTAAGTCCTGGGTTGTTACAACAGATAAAATTGTGAGAATACCATGTATGCCAGTGTATAAGTTAATGTCTTAAGCCTAAAAAAAAAGCTAAATTTGTCAATTTTGGGAAAGAGCAAGTAATTTGCAACTATAAACTTCAGTTAAAATTTAAAAATTTCACACTGGCATATTTGGTAGCAGTCATGATTCAAAGAATTGAAATTACTGATAGAACATTTATGTATGTAAACACATAGTCCTAAAGTTGAATAACTTCTGTAGTGTGTACTAGTAATAGTAGTAATGTCATTTAATATCAACTTGTTTGTGTATCAAAGAGGTTAAGAAATACCAGTTTTATTGTAATAGTCATAAATAAAATGTCATGACAGAAAGAGAAAAATAAGAATTTGCTCTAATAAGGGTGATTTCTTAAAGATAATCTTTAGTTCTATACATTGGACAGGATTGTTCTATCACTATTTTCTCTACTTGTTTTTATAAATGACACAAAGATGATAAAATTAATGTAGCAAGCTTCTTTTTTTTCTTTTTCTTTTTTCTTTATGCATGTCACCTTGTCAAAAGTATGCTGGTGTTCATTTTTTTGGGAATCCCCTCTGTTCTCACATTTTGATTTTTATATTCAGGTTTATTTTGTTACATAGCACACCAATGTACCCTAAGGCATTGTTGGGATTTGAATTCAACCAATACAATGAGCCTGACTTAATAAGTTGATTCAGTATTATAAGATAACAGGGTTCTTGTAGGTTTTTTAGTTGATTGGTAGTCCTTAACCAAAATGTTGAACGTTGTTTTTGCAGAATTATACTGAAATTAGAAAAACTCAGTTCAAAAGACAATGCTCTTTCGCTTAAAACGTATAGGTTAAATAAATTGATAAATGTGCAGTTTCAATTAGACATTCTCTCAAGGAGGAGAGATGTGAGTAAATCTCACTAGACATTTATTCTTTTGTTTCTGATTCACTTGAAGAATAATAACCTGAGAGTTGCAATAAACTGCAACAGAAATAAACTGAAAGAAAGTAGTCAGAAATCTAATGATAATGGCAAAGCTTATTTAAAAAAAATCTTTGACTGAAACATCCTAGTAGTTAGATATCAGGCACAGTTGTTTGGTTTTCACCATTCTAAACTATTTCTCAGACAATATTAGATTTTGGGATAGCATACTGTTAACTGTTCCAGCAGACTTGTATGTTTTATTGAAAGTGAGATAAAATTGAGATTAATGACAGGTTATCCAAAGGAAGCCAGATTCCAGATGCTCTCAGATATGGGCAGTGATTGTGTTGATTATCAATGAAGTGCTGACACTTTGGTTACTCTGATTAGTTGCTTTTATACCATTTCACTTTCAATTTGAGAATAGTAACTTTCAAAATGGAATGATTTATTTTGAATTAAAGAAAAAAGAAAAGGAAAATTAACCAATCAAATTTGTATTTTTTTATATATTTAAATTTCAAAGTTAAAATTGTTTTTTTAAAAACTGGATTTATTTTGATAAAATGCTTATTTACCTATCAGTCAGTTATGTGCCATGTGTGATACACGCCTAGGCGATCATGTATCTTTTCGATATATGACTGACGAGGCAGATTTTTTTTCCCCGCAGTAGGTTGCCATTACTTTCTGCAGTAGACCGGTTGCCATCCAAGGCTATAGAACCTGGTCTGTCCTGCTATTTACCCATAGCTGGGAGGAGAAGAAGAGGATTCATACCTTTCCCAAGGGTATTAGCACATAAGTGAATGTAATGGATTCGACAGGAATTCAAACTCTGCTCTCCGACTCCTCAATCCAAGCTGCTATCCATTACCCCACCATGCCTCCTTATTTACCTAAGAATCTTCAAATATACTTTAATTTTATGAATTTAAATTTGCACGGACTGAAAGAAAAACTTGTAAAGTTTGTATTTCAAGGAAAAAAGGAAGACTCAAAAGTGGACAAAGGTTCAGAAAAGTATTAAATGATCACAAAGATTTTATGTGGAATAAAATTGAAGAAAACCCCAGAATAATGCTTAATGAGCTAGTTGACGCCATTTACCATAAATTCAATTTAAAATTGCCCAAGCAGACTTTACATCACCAACTGGAGATGCTTTTATACACTCTAAAAAGTGTCAAATTCAAGCCAGAAACAGCAAACACATTAGAGAATAAAGAAAAGAGGAAAAGGTTTGTGGAGGAACTCCTTGCATTTCAGAGCCAGAACTTGCCAATTTTCTTCCTGGACAAAACAAACTTCAGTATTCATATTTCAAGGAGTGAAGGGCAATCTCAAAAAGCTACAAGGTGCAGCACAATTGCAGCAGCATCAAACAGTGCCAACATACATGTAATAGGTTGTATCAACAACTTGGGCCTAATTTACAGTGAAGTCAGGCAGAGATTGTACATAAATAACTTGATGTGTGATTTTGTTAAAAAGACCTTGCAAGTAGCCAAGGAAAAGTATGGTTGATCTGTCATACTTGTCATTGACAATCCACCTTGCCACTTAAAAATCAAATCAGCCTTAGATGAGGAATTTTCCAATGATCAAATTTTGAGGCTAGGACCTTACAGCTCCATACTCAATCCAATTGAGAATGTTTGGTCAATTTTCAAAGCTGAAGTAAAGAGGAAATTGTCTGAAAATACCCAAGAAATTCTAATGAGAGAAAGGTTAACCATGAGCATCAAAGTGTATAGGCCCCAGACCCTAAAAAAATTATATAAATGCTGCCCTTGCACAGGCAATGTGCTCAAATTTCATTGCAGGCATCCAAGGCAAAATCATGAAAACCTTAAATCTGGAAGACATGACATTTTTTGTTAACATGTTTTTTTTATAATGACGATTCAATCATTTTCTTCTATAGAATTATTTTTTATTGTTTAGTTCAAAAATTAGTTAGTGTTCTATTTTGAAAGTTACTATTCTCAAATTGAAAGTGAAAAGGTATAGTCTTAGTAGCAGTGAAATTGAGATAATACAGAAAAACCAGTACCAATGTTTGTTCTTGTTACACTGAAACAACAGCACCATGCTAAAGCTTTATCATTAGAGTTGATATTGCAGTAACAATTCTATCTTAAAGTTGGTCCCTTTGAATGATAATTTGGAGATTATCATCTGCCAAGAGTTTTCTTTTTTAAGGTGACACTTGCAGCATAACACCAAAGTCACTCTCCGTTAACATTTTAACTGAAGGAAATTCTCAGTAAAATAACATAACAATTTATATCTTCCCTCAACTTAATTGTTCGGCCGAATGTTCCACTGTACTAATGAAATGCTACTTTCATAACAAACGTCTAACAGTTTTCACATTTATCGCTTTTACTATTAAAAGTTGGTTATTGAAAAATACTTTTAAAAAATTCCAAAGCATAACAGAGTTGCTTGCTTCAAAAAAATCTACTTCATGGTTACAATTATGACCTTCCACAATTCTAAGGTGCCATAGGGCATAGCAGGAAACACTCAAAGACTACCATCTCTCCTCCTGATCATATGGGTCCTAACCTAGCAGTTTTTATTTATTTCCTTCACCACCACCATATAACACAAAGTCTGTTTAAGGTAGGGTACACATATACATTTGGGTGGAACTTCATACCCTGTGCTGCTCCAGAACTGGAATCTCCAATCTTCATTTGTCTTATGTCTTACTTGAAGACTGTGATTAATTCCAGACAAAAAAGTCAAGCAGTTGGAATGAATGATGCAGTAAATGGTGTGAGGAAGAAGTAGGGTACATGGATGCCATTAAGTAAAGCCTTTACCATTTTGACTTTTGAAATTACTGACAATTTGAAAAGATTCTTTCTTTCTTTCTCTCTCACTAACCCTCTTCTCACTCCTTATTTTCACTGAAGGTGTTTTTTAATGTGAATATTTGAAATCAATTAGAAAAATATGGAATATAAGCAATCTGGAGCATTGCACAAAATTAGGTGCAAAGCACACTATTCTATATTTTGACATGGTTGTTTGAGTTTATGAAAAAAATAAAAAATAAATTACCAGTTTATCTCTATATGAGAAAGACTAAAGAATAGTGGATGTATTTTAAAATAAGGATTGTAATTTAAATATATCACAGAATAATGACACTGTTTCATTCCTGAATTTCAAATAACAGATTAATTTCTTTTAAGTGGTTTCCTGAATAATTTTCTTTTAAGTATTTAAAAAAATTTTTTTTATTTTTTTTTTATTTTAAAGCAAATCTTTTTTTCTCTACAGACCCAGGTAAATTTTAATTCTGTTCTTTTTTTTTTTTTTTTTCTTTTGAAACTTACCTTTCTTTTCAGATGGTTTCCAAGGCCATCTATGACTATACGGCTGCTGACACGGATGAAGTTTCCTTTGTGGAAGGCGATATCATAATTCACTGCCAGCCTATTGATCAGGGCTGGATGGAAGGTACTGTGGAGCGAACAGCTCAACGTGGAATGCTGCCTTCCAACTATGTACAGCCTGTGTAAACCAGTTAGTTTTTTGCCTGCCCTCTCGCCCTGACTGCATACAGCCTGTATCTGCCAACGCCCCCATCCTCACCTGGCAACTTTCTATTGCCACATTCCTATCTACTTCCCCCATCACAACAAAAAAAACTTAAAAAAAAAAAAAAAAAAAAAAACTAGTCTCAGCCAGGCCTTTGTCTGCCATGGCCCATGTGACATTTATGACAAACTATATTTAGTGGACTATGTTCTGTGGAATCCTCTTGTAGTGCTGTAATCTCTCATTAGCATAATTCTTTTATTTTTTCCAGTGGCACTGCACTTTTGTGTCTTTGACTCTTTTAGAGAAAAAAAACCTTGTTTATTTTTTTTTTTTTCTTTTTATACACTTTTTGTTTATTTTTATGCTTCTCAGATGCTCTTTTCTCTTCTCTGGGGTCTGCAACACACTTTGATACCTGATGTTTTGTTTTGTGTTAAGAAATTTCCAGAAGTTTTTTTTTTTTTTTTCTTTCTTTCTTCTGCTGTTAGGTAAAAATAAAACCCTGGAAACTCATGAAGGAATTGTTTTAAAAAAAAATCAACTGTAAAAATGTATTGCATTTCCAATTTAAAAAAATTTCCGGTTGCTAATTAAGTTTTCTTTTTTAAATAATTTAAAGTCTTAATCTTGACTCTGAGAATGTTAAATAAAATCTAACCTGTTGATTTATAATTTTTATAAGTTTTGTCCATTTAAAAAAAAATATCTGAATGAATTTAGCTTTCAGTAGCAATTTCCAATAGCAAATGAGATAAATATAGTGGATTTTTTTTTTCTTTTTTTAAATTTAAACATTTAATTTTAAAGAATAAAGAGGGACAGAAATAACTTAACAAAAATTCTTTTTAAAGTTTAATGAAATTTGGTTAAAGACAAAACTATTGATGGCTGGTATTTCTGTGAGTTGCACTTCAGTGGAAACTTGTGTACAATGTTTTTATAACCCAACTCACTATATGTTCAGCATTTATTAAAAGTTAGTTTTCAAAAAAATAATAAATAAATAAAAACTAATGTTTTAAATCTAAAATCAAAGGAAACTCCATTAAAATTGGACAAATTTATTCCAGAGTTATAAATGTGACCAGTGCACTGTCCTTATTTTATACAAAATATTTGCGTTACCATTTTGATTTATTCCCCTTCTGCTTGTTCTGCACAGCTTTAATTTTGCCTAGTCTAATTTGTCCTCCTCATCGCAGGCAGAAGCCCTAATATTTCTGTCCTGAACAGAGTTTCCCCCCTGGAACTAAATACAAAAACAGGGCCTCCATGACAACAAAATGAAAACAGCAGTAGCAGTGAAAGATACATTTCCTATTTAAATTGACACACAGCTGTGTCATCAGGAGGAGGGGAAATAGCCAAAACACTTTTTTGGTACTTAAACCAACAGAATGGCATCTGATATATGAGAGGGTTTGAAAGCAGAGAAGGGGTCAGGTTTTGATCCAACTCCATTACCCTGCTGCTGCTGTTGGCTTGTATGTCTTTCTGTCTGTCATTGACTGACCAAAATGATAAATAAATAAATGCCAAGCATTGATCTGTTAATATTTGCTTGTAAATAGACTCTTCAGCTTCTTTAATATTTCAACATGATTGATTTCTACAGTAAAAAAAGACACACATTCACACACCATTTTAATAAAGAGAGTTAAACAACAAAAAAAATTGATTATTGCTAAATAAAATTGAATCACTGGCTTGTCCATAAAAATTCAAAAAAAAAAAATAATAATAATAATAAATAAATAAATAAATTAAAAAATTTGAAGTGTTGGGGCATCTTGTTCTTACCAAAGATTGTGAATTAAATCCTAATTTGTTTATTAAACTTTTAATTGAATCGACAACAAAAATATTTGTGACTAACTCAAATAACAGCTTTGATATTTGCTTCAACTTGAGTATTTCTGGGGGGTGGGCAGAGGGCATTGATCCCTTGCTTTCTACTAGTTTATCTATAATTTTCCTTTTCTTTTCTTTTCTAATCTTTTTTTATTGTGTGGAAGGTGGGTGGGGTTGTATATGAACTTATTTGCTGCATATGGCAAAAAATTTTAACCAAAATACTTAAAGGCCGGAAGAAGGGAGGCAACTTACTCAGTGGGTCTTTGTAGGCTCGTAGCTCTTCAATTCTCTGATATTAAAACTGGTGTGTCCCCCCTCCCTGGACCCTTCTCTCTGGTACTGAAGGAGAAATGAGTGGAGAAATAAAAGTTGCCCAATTTATCTTCCAACCTCAAAAATGACAACATTCTCAAATTGCCACAAAGTTGCTTTTTGTAACCGTGTAGTATTTGAGGTTTGACATTTAAAAACAAAACATTTTTATTACTTATCAACTCCAGTTGGATCTCTTGGAATAAGGACAAAAAATTGTTTTAAATAACTTAAAAAAAAAAAAAATTGCATTGAATCTGGAGGCTTTCCCACTTTGTTAATTATTCTGTAAGCAATATTCTTTTGAATGAATAAAAATGAAAGAAAAAAATGTTTCAGTAAATTCTGAAGTGCTTGCACCCTGAAATATTTGAAAGGAACCACTTCCTTTGCTCCCCCCCGTTTTGATTTTCCCCCCTCACTTCTTATGGTTATTTGTCCCCTTTTTGTGGGCAATCATCGAACATTTACTCTTAATTTGTCTTGCTTTGTTATTTTTCTGTAATTTTTCAGTTCTCTCATTTACAGCTGGGCAGTTGTCTATAAAATTCAACCCCAAAAATTGCCCACTTTAAATTAAGTGCACTGCTCGTAACAAATAAATTCATAAATAAGCAAATCAGCCCCTATTCTTCTGTGTTTTTCTTTTTGTGTAAATTTTTTTTCTTTTTTTTTTTTTTTCTTTTTTTTTAAATCCCAAATTGGGATGGTTCTATATGAAGGGCTTGCTCTGCTGATTTAAACTGATGTTTTCCACACAATTTCAAAGACATTTTTATTCTCTCCGCAGAAATAAATTCAAGACATCAACAAAAATGGAGAGAATTTTTTTTTTTTTTTTTTTTTTTATAAACAATTTCTAGGTTTACATTAGCACACACACACACACACACACACACACACACTTCCCACCCTTATGAAAGCAAAAATGTTTGGATTTGTCTGTTGTCAATAAAATATATTGTCTCTTTAATTACTTCGAATATGAAGCAATCGGAATCCTCCTTATACCCATATATACAAATTTTTATCAGGGGTTTGAACATCAGCTATCTTAAAACCACCACTTTATTCTCACCTTTATAAAAAATTTAAAAAAAAAAAAAAAAAATACAAATTCAATTTTGTTTTACTTTACAAAATGAAGGCGGGGGGAGGGAATTTGTAAAATGTAGCCAAACATGTTGTTATTCCTGTCCTCACATGACTTGTTGTCTTTTGTGCATGTGTGCAACTGTATTGCCCAGAACCCTAAAGATCAAGTTCCCAGCATCGAATTGTCTTTCTATAAATTATTAAATGTTATATCTGAGTTTTTTAATCAATTGTAATAGAATGTCTTTTTTCTTTTTTTTAACACCCCCTTCCATTTTAATTTTTTTCTCTTTTCTAGTTCAGTGGAAATTGGGCTTTGCACATCAAGGAATCAGTGTGCATTCTGTTTTCTCCTTAATTAAAATTTAAGAACACAACTTTTGTTTACCTATTGCTTTTTATATGAGTATTACTAGTAGCATTACTCTGGCTTTTATTATTATTAGTGCTAACATTAGTATTATCTATTTGGTTACAGCTTTTTCTTATTTCAATCATAATTTATTATTTTAATAATTCTTATTCTTACTTTATTATTAGAAGAATGGTTAAGAAACCAAATGGCTTGAACTTTGCAAATTCTATGTACTGGTTAACCAATAAAGAATTCTACATGAATAGATATTCAGGTGGAGGGAAAAACTTTAACTTGGTTCGTGAACGAAAAGCAACGAAAAAAATAAAAAAATATATATATATATATATATATATATATATATATATATATATATATATGTGTGTGTGTATTTTTTTTTTTTTGGCATGGGGATCCCATTTTTTCTGTGAAACACCAATAAATATACATGAACACACACACACACACTATTTATTTTTTTATATTTTTTTAACCTTTGCCAAAATATAAGCTACACTCTTCCCAGGCTAATTTTAAGTTTAGGTTTCCTCCTGAAATTACCTCAAGAACACATACGATTTATTGACCTCTTATTCACCTAGTTTTGGATATTTAACTATGGGCTGTGATCTTTTTTTTTTTTTTTTTTTTTTTTCATTTTATTATTATTCTTCTCCAAATAGCAATTTTTAAAACCTTGTGTTAATTTCTGATATCTTTCACAACAAAGATAATTATTTCATAACTTGATTCGTCCTCTTTCTTTTTCTTCTTGATTTAACCTATTGAACTTGTGCCAATGCTATGGAGTCTATTGACGGAAAAGCAAAAAAAAAAAAAAATTGATCCATCCTAACGTGTAAGTAGATTAAGGCTGTTCATATGAGCAACTTTGCTCTCTCTCTGCTAGTTTTCATTGCTGATTTGTCTTTTACACTGGCAGTTGTGAAATAGTGAAACTTACCCTTGGATACTTTGTGTATCAGCAAGTGGTCACATCTATTGGTTCAATGGGTTGAAACTATACTTGAATTTTTTACATATACATTTGTCTTTAATAGATTTATCTTGGGCAAATTTTTCAAATTCTCTATTTTATTCAATTTTAGCTGCCTCTCAAAGACCCCTCCCCTCAAGGACCTGTAATCTGAGATGCTTTCTAGCTTTTGCATTCTTTGCACTTTGTAACCACCATCATTTTGTGTTTTGTGACTAGACATGTAGTAGACATTAGAGTAGTTTATTTTACTTTTACAATGGTGATGTTTTTTTTTTTTTTAAATATACCTTGCATAAAAAATTCACAGCATGATTAGTTTTTTCCCCTCCAGTCACATCAGTGAATTTTTATAAAAGCAAAAA